ACCCCCAACCCATAGGAGGTCCGGGAGGAAACACCAAGAACCAGGTGGCTAATATCTCCTTCTGGAAAGAGAGAGAAATTAAGGTTATGGGTGAGGAAACTTTCACCTCTTACTATTTACCATGCTAATAGTTTCACATTATTAGCATTATTAGAATTTTTTACATTGATGTTACTACTTCATAACTTAAGGAAAAACTGATTTTTTTAAAAAAATGTATGAATAAAATCAGCCACTGTGAACATTTCCTGCGAATGTGTGACTAAGAGTACAGAACACCACGTTACCTCAAGAAGGCCAGTGTGTTGTCTCAGAGAAAGCTGGGGCGGGCAGGAGGAATGGGGTCTGCTTCTTTCCTGGGTGATCCTGGGGGGTCGCTGAGGTCGCCTTAGGTGTCTGGGGCAGCCCGAGCCGTGGCCCTGGTGTCAGAAGTATGGGAATGGAGCCTCCGTGGAGGTGAGCGAGGGTCCCCCTACTGGCCCTGCTGAATACGGTGTTGAACCCAGCCTTCCAGGAGTGAGAGACTCCTAGCAGCTGACCTTTGCTCTCCAAGGTGGGGTGGAGGAGGGGCAGTGATTCAGGTCACGGAGAGGGCCGTCCCTGACACACCCACGGATTCCATCAGCTAGTTATCGCCAGCACGTCCCTCTGGGAAGGCTGCTTTCATCATCCTCCTCGCTGTGAAATCCATGCAGCCAATATGGATCCCTATTTTCCCTACTGCCAAGTCACAAGGAACAATAATCCCTTATTGGTACACATGAATTCTCTCCATCCTTTTTAAAACAGCTGCTTTGTGTCATCTTTTGCTCTCGTTTTAAGAGGGCAGCCTTACCTTGAGTCTTGAGGGAACTACCTTGCCCCGGGAGTGGAATGGGCGTTGCCCTGGAAGCAGGAGGGTCCCCTGGAAACACAAGATAACCTCAGCAGGAGTGAGGTGGCCCCGGGCAGGAAGCTGGGGGCCCCAGGGTACAGGACACATGGGCTGGAGTTTTGAGGGAGTGGCGAGCCACAGAGTGGAATGATAGAAGACGCTGAGGAAAACGGGGGAAGTTCTGGAGTTCTACTGGGGTCACGACCCCCGCACCCCCCACTAACCCATCTCCCCTAGCATGAAAGTGTGGAAGGCCACTGGACTTTAACTATGCCGGCTCTGTGTCCACCCTTCCTTAGTCATTCAAATATTTTGGGTAAAGCCACGGATTATCACCCTTACCCCATCGATCATTATGGGACACTAGATGGTTTGGGAACAAAGCTAACCTCTTGCTGTCTTGCGGAAGCAAGAAGTCAAGGGTTATAGTCAAGTTCAGAAACCAGCTGTGCCCCTTCCTAGCTGTGATCTCTGAGTTTCGGTTTCCTCGTGTAAAATGTGCCAGTAATGATGCCTATTTATTAGATGGTGTTGTGAGGATTGAATGAAATAATGGGAAAACATTTAACCAATGTCTGGCATGTAATCTCTGGGTAACAAGGAATTGCACTGGCTGCGTGATATGGGACTGCAGGCTAACAGAACCATGGCGCCACCTTGTGGTAGTTGTCTCTCAGAACAACTAAAGATCCTTTTTCAAATGCCCAGGAGCAGGCCGTGCTTGGGAAAACTCATTATGTAAAGACCGTAATGGTATGTGCTGGTGTCTAGCAGAGCATCTTAGATCTTAGAAAGATGTTGGAGAAGTGTCACTTGGGAGGACTTCCCCCACCTCCCCATCGAAAAGATTCTCTACGAATCTACCGTCATCGTCCACATATTCCGGATGTTCCCAGCTTTACGGGTGCACAAGAAGAAAGCTTTAGAGCTAGAAGAGAAGCGTAATCAGATTAAAATCTTCTCAGTTTCCAAGCCTCTGCCCACTTCCTGCTGCACCTCCAATCACCATCTCTCCTGAAATCCCAGCCTCCCATTCCCTGCTCCACTTTCCTGCTTCACTCTGCTCCTTAGCACTAAGATGCCCTATATGTAGCTGCTTTAGTATTTTGCCCCATTTGAATGGAATTCCCATGCAGACAGGGGTTTCAGTGTTTCTTCGTGGCTGTATCTTCAGCACCACGAATGGTGCCTGGCTCATAGTAATTGCTCAATTGCTGACTGAATGAAGGAATGAAAATGAAGGTGGAGCCTGAGATGAGAAAACTTGAGCTCTCTCAGAATGCCACAGATTTAAAAATGAAAACTTATTTCCTAAGGTAGGTAAAAATTTTCTAGAGAAAGGGCTGGTTTCATGAGTGTGCAACCAGTGCAGTCACAGAGGCCCACATATAGGACCAGGCATTCAGAAGGGCCTGGCACTTCTGAATGGGGCTGAATGCTCAGTGGTTGCAGTCTTGAGATTTTTCATAATCATATCTTTGAATTTGTGTTTCATAAGTCAAGTCCAATGGGAAATGGTGCATGTGTGGGGCTTAGGGCCTTAGTTCATGCATGGTCCTGCCTCCTGCCACCAGCTCCCCCACTCCTTGGCGGACCAGCCTCCTCTTCTTGCCTGCACCCCATGACCACGGCCACACTCTGTTCCCAGCAAGGGAAGGGTCAGGGTTGGATGCCCATGCCCTGAAGCATCTCAGGACAGGGCATAGCAGCAGCTGCCCCTGAATTCCTTTCCCCCATTCAGGGGATGGCAGCCCCATGGCATGGCTGGTGGGTAGAGAGCTGGAGACCATATCTTGACAGGTGCAATCCAGGTACCTTGATCTAGGAATAAAGAAAGTCCCAGCTTAAAGATGTAAAGATCCTCAGGAGTGACCTACATGCTGTGGGTTGGGGTAGTGGGCCTGAGAGAAAGAGAGATAGATGCCTGGCTCAACTGCTCCACCCTGGCAGTGCATAGTTCTGGTGACTGGAGGGAGGGGGAACCGAGTAAGCATGAGCTAGGGGTCCCCAGATGCCTGTCACAGGGGTCTCTGTGCATTTGTCTCTTCTGACCAGCTTGACACACTTTCCTGGATGAGCCACAAAAAACAGATTGTATAATGCAGTGATTCTACACATGAGCTAAATGTGCTATTTGCATTTAAAACTGGCATCACACAACATAAGAGGAATAATAAAATTCATGCTAATAATTAACATTTTTTTTACTTAACACACAATACCACAATAAACAGAGAGAACTTGGGAGACGGGACAAGGCTTTTCTATGTACCTTTAATGGTACGTATTCTCTGCTTTTTGAACAAGGAGCCCACGCTTTTATTTTGCACTGGGCCCTGCAAATTCTACTCAACATTTACAGCAAAGTGGCCATTAGGATTAACCTGTGGGTATACCATCAAGTCACGGTGGTCCGTTTTCTGATTGTTTGGATAATATCAGTTGTCTTTGATGAAAGGACATTACCAACTGAGTAGTAAACATATAATAAAATAACTAATAAGGAACTATTTCTTCCCATTCTTTATTAACCCTTCATAACTTGGTCTTGTTTCATTAAGCTAAAGGGATTAGCATCGCTAGGAAAACATGACATGAAAATTCTGATGGACACAAGGACTGCTAATTCACATTAAAAATCAGACATAAAAAATAATCCATCTAAACCAGTTTCCTCCAAGGGTGAGATATTCCAACGTGCTTTAGCTTAGATCAAGCATGACACTAGTGACATTTTGTTGTGGGGGCTGTCCTGTGCATCACAGGATGTTTAGCAGCATCACTGGCCTCTACTCAGGAGATTTAATAGTACCCTTCCCCAAATCATTTCCATTTAAATGTCCCCAGACATTACCAAATGTCCCCCGGGGGGCAAAATTGTCCCCAGTTAAGAATCACTGGCTTGGAAGGTTAATGAGGTGGGTAGTAACGTGTCATTACTGCTCTTGTGAGCATCAGATAGGCATTCTCTTCCCTCCCCTGATGCCAAGTCATAAACACAGATCCCCTCCAATGAGATCAACTAATGTAAGAGACATAAATATAGGAAAACTAAAGAATTCTTTTATTTAGTGAGAAAGGAGTAAATGACAGCCAGCTTATATACAGTTAAATAGAATAAAAAAAAGAATATAGACATCACAGTGATGAATTTTCACAAAGGTGACAGATTTGTACTACAGAGCAATGGAATATTTATAAGCAATATTTATAAGCAATATATCATGGTATTAGTGGCTAGTTTGTATCCAATTAGGTTTTTTCTAAGCTCTAGAACATTTAAAACATTAGACTTTAAATTCTAAATCTAGACATGACAATTGTAAGTACACCACTCAGTCATTTAAAACTTCTAAGTGCTACTCCTGGGTAAATATTTTTTTTCCTAACATTATTTTTCTCCAACATTTAGAATGTAACATTTCATGTTCCAGTAGTAATCACACATAGGATTAAAAGTCCAAGCAAAAAAGTGTCCTTCTTTCTATAAAGTGTTCTTTAAAAAAAGGGAGAAAAATGAAAGGTATGGACATTTTATACAACTACTGCTGAAGAACAGCGAAAGCAATTCCAAAATATCATGCTTGCTGTACAGAAAGGCATGGCTCACAGAACCAAGTATAGCAAGCTACAGCAGTTGAAGATCAATCTTTAAGGGGTTGGCAATATTAAATACCGTACACGGCTCTGAGTCTCTTGCCTGGCTAGCGCATGCCCAGAATCTGTCTGCTTTTCAGCTGGTAATTTTTTTCAATGTCTGACAGGGCCTGAGCGCGCAGCTGGGCAGCATGAAGCCTTTTTTTCAGGTCTTTGCACTTGGCTTTGGAGGTGAGCTGACTCTCAGAATTCTCACTCCTCATGATGTTCTCCTTACTCTCCCCACTGAAATGAACTTTCTTCTTAATTATTGAGGATGGAAGATCAAAAAGTTCTTTAGGAAGAAAGAAAAAGAAAAAGGGTTTTGAGTTATTGGAGCAGGAATTCAACTTCTCTGTGTTTATCATACTTATCAAAAATATTCACTCTTTCAGTACTTGTTTTAGTTTCTTTGGAATAGGAGGTCCTGAGGCCGGTGGAAATCGATCAGCCTTTTAATCCACCGTGCTGAAAAAATAATCCTGGAGTGTGGCAAATATCAAAGAACATATGCTTGATTCTCTCCACGATCAACTTTTCTCTTAAGGTTAAATGCACTAGGGAGGATGGGCCACAATATAAAACTGTTGGAAATCAATGTCATTTATTTCTATTCTTGAAAACGAGTGCCATTCTACCTAGAACACATTACTTCCAGAAAAGTATGGAAGGAGCAGCTCTTTCTTATAGACAGCACCTAAAGCTTTGGTGAAATATTTAAGAATACTTACTTCAAAGCAGATTAATTGACCAAAAACTTATTTCAAAAGAACCTAAGCAAATTGAAGTAAATCAAGTAACAGTACAGTGAAAAAGGTGACTTGTGCTTTTTACATGAAAAAAAATTTATTTAAAGTGTTAATACTATTAGCTACCTACAGACTATTTAGAGGTTGGGCACCTGCAGGCTTGAATTCCAGAACCTTTTTTATTTTTCCTTTGTGCTCATTTAAAGGAACTATGTTCAAATATTTACTGGGCTTATTGTATGGGCCATTGTGGACCAAACAAAGGCCTTATTCTCGTGGGAGGAGATACACCATAAACAAACAAACAAGTCATCTGAGAAATATTTGAGGGTATGTGCTGTAGGGGAAAATAATACTGAGAAAGGGAGACAGAAGGGCTGGGGGTAGTCGCAGTGACGAGAGAGTCTTAATAAGGTGACTGAGCAGAGACCCGTTGAAAGAGGAAGAAACACCACTAAGAAGCCATGAAACTATATGGAGGAACAGGCTCCGGGCCAAAGAGACGCAAAGGCCCTGAGGTAGCAGAACGCTGCACAGAGAAATACGGCATTCCAACTGTCCCATGAAGCCCTGCCTCAGCATTGTGCCTGCTTCAAAGCACCCTTGATTGCTTCAGATTTACCTCCATTGTTTCGAACGTCTCCACCTTTATAACCACAAATACCTACATATTTATAAACAATGTAAATTGTAAATCTTACTAATGGGATAGTTTTCTAAGAAAGAAAAGTGTTTTGAAAAAGAATTAGTATTTCATAAAATAGACTAAGGAGAGCTTTAAATAAAAAAAGACACTGTTGCTCACAGTGAAGATCCTGACATTACTTAAGGCCCTATTGGGGATAATTCTCAGCAATCAATGGGTTTCAGGTATCACACTCACCCAGATAAATATTTTTCCTCACTCTATCACTGTAACCATGATTTAAGTCTACTTTGTCTTTATGGATGTCAGTGTGAAATCTAAGAAAAGCTGAAATAAATATTACAAAAATTCAGGAATGATAAATAGCAATAAAGAAGAAAAAGAAGATATTTGAACAGAGATGAAGCCCAAGTTTTATATAATCTTTGTTTCATTTACTTCCATCACTGGTTTCATTGATTCTCATCACTTATCACTCTAAAGTTACTGTAATAATCACACTAACAAAGTAGTTTTTTTGTCCTGTTTACAAAATGCTGGTCACTGAAGTGATCAAATTCTCTCTCAATTTATTCAAAATAGAAATGAGCCTTCACACATGCTGGTATGAGGAAGCTGTAAGAACTCTTAAGTTTCACTGGAAAACTCAAATACTCAATTTTGAAAACCAACAAAGAACTTTTAAAAATAATCTGCCATGAAATCAAGGGGAAAGACTGAACACCTTGCATTTCCCATAAAGAGTAGATTAAATTAGATTGAGAGTTTCTGTGAAATGGAGGAATCCTGTTGGAGTTGATCCACCGGTACATACACACTAACCACATGTCACTCAAGCAGAGCGCTTGGGACAATGCCCACCCTGGGAAGGGTGACTGTCTACGTATGAGACCTGTCTATATACACGCAGAGCATATGTAGATATGTAACAATCAAATTCTGACAAATACATGTTTCAATTTGAACAGATCGTAGCAAAGATCTAAAGTAATGGCCTACTCTACAGTTGGCTTATCACGCCTTGTAAGCCATACTTTTTATGAAGGATATGGCATGTATTATTTGGGTATGTAACAACAGTAAATGCTAGGATTTTTTATTGAAAATGGAGAGAGATGTAGAATTCTGTTAATGTGCCCAGAGAAAAATCTAAAACAGCATTATTTTTAAATGTCCTAATTAAAAAAAATAAACATCAAATACTAAACATGCAGTGTGATAAAGTAAACGAAACTGAAGACGAAACCATTATGACTTATTGCTTCAGGCCTATGAATCCAGTAAGTAAATCATTGCTATAACAATTCTTATTTTCATTGAAATATAAACTGAAAGGACTACCAAAGCCCCTTGAAGGCAACCCTGGTGCCCACTTCTCAGCATCCGTAGCAGCAGCTCTGTCTGCTGAGTTGATTCTCATACCTGGACCACTTGCCAGAGACAGGAACTTCTGCTCCTTCAGCAGGCTGTAATTCTTCAACAGACTTTCTGCTCTCACCAGTTTATCCTCTGCCAGTCTCTCGCGAACACAAAGCTCTCGTTCCTTCTCTTTAAAAAAGAAATGGAACGAGAAAAAAAGAAGTTAACAAGTGGCTTTGGGTATAAAACAACTCATATTTGGTAATCTTAACACTTCTCCTAGTCACTAAGACTAGCTTGCCAGAGCAGTGATTAGTCATGCTTTGCGAAAGGTTTCTTACCGTACAACCAGGTTAACCTGATTGTGCTAGTTTTTAATTCAGTGTTTTAGCGTGTTGTATGTTGTCTCAGGTTTTCTTATGGAGACTGGTTTATGCACAAGTACAAAGTTAGCTTCAGCCTGTGGTCGTTGTGTGGGAATAACTCATTTGGGCGTGGGGGGGGAGGGCAGATAAAAAATTAACGCCATCTCTGTTCTCCACTGAAAACAGGCAGCAGCTGTTTTGCAGGCGTCACCTGGCCTCACAGTGCAACCCGCCCCACCTTCTTCTGGGTCAATGACAGCACCCAACTAGAAGGGACAAAACCACAACCCAGTCAGGAGGTACCTCTTCAGGTCAGTAACAAAGGCTATTTATTTTTTCATGGCCCAGAATTCAGGAAGTTCAGATTTTAGTTGCTATACGAAATTACAAAACACTGGTAATCCCAGTGTTTTATTTTTTACAGAATTGTTTTGCCAGAAGAGTCAAAAAAACGGTTTCCAGGGAAGCATAGGTTATATATCTACAGAAAGCCTAAGAGTACCACACAATTATCATTAGAAAGTAGAACATTAATGAATGCATTGGACTCTTCATAAATACATTTAAATAGAAAAAAATTATAAAGTCTGCATTGGACTTAAAGCTGCAGAAGCAAAATCAGGGAGCCACGAGGGTGGTAAGGAGACAGTCACAGCCCCATCTCTTGTCTTTCAATGTGAAAATGAGGAGCCTCGGACCTGTTGCTACCGTGCATAATTCTAAAACCTTTGGTAGCAGCTCTCATTTTGGTGGAGTAGAGATTTTCACCATCAAAAACTAGCACCTCATCAGAGTACTCACACACCTAGACCATCCTGTACCCACATTACTGAATTGCCTGAACATATCTAGTCCTACATACTGTAGGGATTTAGACCCGGACTGTGTTGGATCAGCCATAACAGAAGGTATAAGTAATGGTTTTTATTATGGGAGGCAGCAATTCTTTTACAATGTAAAAACTTTCGGGTATAAATGTATTAAGAAACAGAAAGGAAAAAGTAACAGTAAAGTATAAAGTCTACATTAAAGTATACACTAAAGTCTACAAAGTCTATAGTACAGTGTAATGTATACATAATGTTATATATATATACCATGTACTCTCCATGAGGTAGACCTTAAAGTCTATAAAGTCTTCAGTAAAGCGTAATGGCTACTGTGGTAGGGCCCTCAAGGTTAGTGTCCATCAATACTGTGATAGCAATTGATCTTGGACAAAGAGTAAGCTCAACATGAAGGTGCCAAGAAGCTTGATTTACATGTCTTACTATGCATACTTTGGTTTCGCAAGTATCTGTAAGAATGTTCTGACAGAACATACACATGCGAAATACTCTGTTGACACAGATTTCACACACATCACGACAACCCTCCTGGAGCTCTCCTTCGCTCCACCCCCGACTTACGCTCCAGCCTTTCTTCTCTGGCTTTGAGGGCTCGCTCTCGCTCCTGTAACTGTATTTCCTTTAGTTTCAGCTCACTCAGTACAGGGCTGGAATCCTGCAACTTTTCTGGTTCTCCTAACCTCCGCCCCCTTCTCTCAGGATTTTTTCTTTGCTCTTCTGCAACCAAGTCAGCTATCAAAGGGCTCTCCAGAATGTCTTCAACAGAAGGTCGATGGTAATCCTGTCGGAAAAAATATTCAGTGTTATAGTCAGATTTCATAGCAGAATATTCATCCTAAAAGGGAAGTTACATTAAAAGGGCATATATTTCCAAGGCATAAGCAAGGACTCTTTTATGGATGGGCCTTAACCACCTGGAAAAATAAGTTCACTGGTGGCTTTAATACATGAGGTTCTGGGTCCACAAGGCAATGCAGATTTTCACTTATCTTTGCTCCCCCTTTAACTGAGAAGGCTCCACCCCTGTGCTGGTACTCGGTGGCACTGCTAGGGTCTGTTTAAGGGCAAGTACTGCCCTTGTATCTCTAAACTATGGCAAGCAGGATACTCCCTCATGGACCTTCAGTCATATTACTTTGCCTATATCCTTCTCTGTAATCCCACATGCCCTTAACTTTTACATCAGCTTGATTCCTAGGACAGCTCCCTCCCCATCCCATGGCCAGATTTTTTCCGCATAATCTCTGCATAATCTCTTTATTAGAGTTATTTCCCCTCTACTCTTTTTAGCTACCCCTCCCCCCACACGCCCCTATCTCTGGTCTCTAATTTCTCATCTGGAGCTAAAGGCAGAGTAATAAAGTCTTATGTGGACCCTTCCTGTACCGCCTACCACTGTGAGGTAGACTAGGACAAGGGAGACTGAGGAGTTGGATCCTCTCTGCAGTCTTTGTCTTGTCAGCATGACAGAGAGTGGGAAGAAACAAAAAGCAGACGGTAGGCCAGTAAGGATAAGCAATTTGCCAAATTCACATGTTTTCACTTGTGTTAACAGAGTAGATCTAGCTAAGGAAATATATTTAGTGTTTCTTCAGTCTCATTGCTCTACTAGAGAGAATACGTACTTCGAAATTTAATTGAGAGATAGACACAGAGAGATAGAATCTTATAATCTTTACCTTCAAATTTAACATCCTTGTAATAATGTCATTCAATTCATCAGAGTAACGGTATGGAATTCGCCTGAATTTGCCTTCTCGGATCTTCCCAGCCAATTCTTTCTGGTTGAAAGCTGTAAATGGAGGCCTGGAGAAAAATAAATAATGTAAAAATGAAAATAGAGTAAAAACCAAATCAAGAGCATAGTTTAAGCTCCAGCTGGTACTTATGTTTCCACTTCTGGGATCTTTTTCTACAGGTGTGTTTCCCAACCTTGGCACTAATGACAGTTGGGGTCATATAATTCTTTGTTACGGGAGCTGTCCTGTGCATCACAGTACGCTTTGCAGCATTGCTGGCCTCTGTCCACTAGATGCCAGTAGCTTCCCTAGTTGTGGCGAACAAAAATGTCACCCCATGGAGCAAAACTGTTACCCTCCCCTCCCCGCATTGAGAAACACTGCTCCACAGACTAGCTTAGAAGGAAGAAAAGAAAATCTCCAAATCTCCAGACCTATCCCCTAGATCTTTGTTTAAACATTTCTTGCATAGGTCCGCACTGAGAACCACTGCTCTACAGACTAGCTTAGAAGGAAGAAAAAGAAAATCTCCAAATCTCCAGACCTCTCCCCTAGATCTTTGTTTAAACATTTCTTGCATAGGCCTGACCTATTTGCTCTCCCCTGGAGCTAAGGACCAGTCTAACAAGAAAGTATCTAACTAGGTTAGAAGCTTGAACAAGTGAAGATCCAGTCTTAGGGGTTATATTATTATTTTTGTAAATAACTTTTTTAACCTGTCCATCTGCCTTAATTTTAGCCAAGGTATGATTCTTTCAGACTTGAATGTGCGTGGATGGTTAAGCAGTTGAACCCAGTGAAAGGTGACAAACCTCTCTGGGTATAAACCTCACTAGGAATCTGTCTTTACCATACTTACATTAATGCACACAATTCGTACAGCAAACAACCTAGTGACCAGATATCCGATTTCTCATTGTAGGACATGCGACTCATTTGTTCCTTCAGGGGAAAAAAAGGGTAAGAAAGTAGGAAGAGTTACAAGTTTATTTTGTTTTAAAACTTATAAAATTACCCCTAAGACAAAAATAGAAACTTAAAGTTTGGTAATATTTGCTCAAGGAAAAAAAAAGGAAAAAAATTATATTATTACTATTTTATACCTGCAATAAAAATTTCAAAATACAAAAAGCTGATTTAGCTTATGTCAGATCTTGTATCATAATAACAAAAGATGGTACTTTTTACTTCATCTGCAAATTTCTAATGGAAAAAAAGGCAATGACCTTATCCTAATATACTTTGTCATATAGAAGTCGTTCATTTATTTTTCCTTCACAAACATTTACCGTTATTATAGACGAGGTGCTGACAATTCAAAGGTGAACATGAGAGGCCTTTACCTTCACGACATTCATAATCTAGAAACTCCATTTTAAAAGAACCAGAGGAAATTTAAGAATAATCAATACGTGTATCTAGCTTATATTTAAATGGATATAGACGTAAATGGCTAATTGAATTATTTATATAGTTTCCCTTAGCCCACTCTATAAACCACAGAAGTGACTAAGATCCTCATTTCCTATTTAAATTGTTTGCCTTTCTTCCACACATGCAGTAACAAGTCTACTACAGCTCTTATTCTCAACAGAGGGCACAGAGGCAAATACCAAAATCTTAAGGAGGTCTCTTAATGTTTTAAAGTCCAACAGGTGTGTCTGATACCATTTCCTGACAATCAATTCCATAGGGAATGCTGAAGTGATCTAATTACAAAGGTAGGAGGGAAAAGGAACAAAAGAACTGTGCAGGTTTCAAATTTTCCAAGGACCACTTCTGCATAATTTTCCTTTATGTTAAAGGCTTTCTGTTTGGAATTTGATCCAGTGAGAAAATGACTCTGGTAATGTAATCTTAGCAAAAAACAAAATGATTAGTTTACAGTTTTATGCTGTAGTCAAACTGGTTAAATAATTAAAAATGATTTAGAAAATCCTGGAAATGTTTGTGAACTGCCAAAAAAATTAATCTCTCTCCATCTTTGTCTGCTCAGATTTCATATACAACCCATTGGTGCTATCACCTATTGATTCCAGCTTTTCAAAAGCCATCAGGCAATATCTAGGGAGCCATAAGTGGCTGACCCAACAATTTCATTTTGAGAGCTACAGGCCAAGGAAATAACCAAAAAAGGAAGAATAATTCCTATGCATAGCAGTGCTCCTTAGAATTATGATAAATTTTGGAAACAAAATATCTAGCAATAGAGGAAATACATAAGTAGGTAGACTCTGCAGCCCCCTTGTAGGAAATGGTAACAAAAAAAAGAACACAAAAAATTAACACTGTGAAAATATATTATCTGAAATTAGTAAGCCCCCTGAGCCCTGAATCTCCATGCACAAGAATTATCTAGAGAGTCTATTAAAATTACTAAACACACAAATAAAAAACTCACTTTCCCTATATTTGAATGCTTACAATTAAGAGGTTTAAAAAGTATCTAAATTCTGAAATACTTACAGGAGACATGTAATAAGGTGTGCCAACAAATGTTTTTGCAAAACTTGTATCATGGTTTAATATTCTAGCTAGCCCAAAGTCTCCAAGCTTAACGTTTTGCTTGCCATCCAGGAAAACATTGGCTGGTTTCAGATCCCGATGTAGCACAGTGTGACCGCCATCACTTCGTCTGTGACATTCCTTTAGGGCCAAAGTCAATTGAGTCATCACTCGAAGAACAAACTCTTCGTCTAAGTATTGTCTGAAACCAAAGCAGTTATACAGCATATAACTTCTGAATAAAACTTTTATAAAGATGAGATTAATGTGAATTATCTAGTTTTCAAAGTGTACAATAGAGAAATGAGTATCATATTTTGTTATGAAATATGGGTGTTGATTCCCAGGAATTTCCTGAAGTACTGTGGACCCACCAAATACAAAAACACTTCCACATACATGTCTAAGTACTTTATGTCTGATCCTAAAACAAGATGCTCAACAGAAACAAAACCAGGCCCATTTTCAGCTTACATTTCAAGATTAACTTACCTTTCCTTGGTTCCCTTTGTAATTACACTGGCCAGGTCCCCTCCTTCACAATATTCCATTACAATGTACAGCGTTGTGTTGGTTCGGTCAATAATTCGATCATAGTAACGGACAATGTTTGGATGTTTCAGTTCACGAAGCAAATTCACTTCAGAAACAAGCATTTGTTTTTCAGCTTCTGTCATGGAGCCATAGTCAAGTTCCTTCCAAACTAATATCTGTAATAAGAATTTCCCAGAGTAAGAATGAACTCATTATACTCAAAAACAAAGAGTAAATGTTCCAAAATTTAAAAATTACTTCCCTATTAAATAGATCATACAGTCATCATCTACTTGAGTTCGATAATCTTTAGGACCCCTGAGTTTATTTCCATCCTCTCACTGTTAAGCAGTAAATAATATAATGGGAGAGAGGGCGATGAGGCATATTAGGCCTCTCCCAACCCCTTACCCTCACTTGTTTCGTGGGAGGTTGGCAAAATGCACTTTGCTCAAAGGTAGGGCAGAGACAGTCAAAGTCCCTGACCATTCTAACCAGCCTAGTTTTCCCAAGGTGAGTGAGACCTGAGTAAAGATCCCTCCATCAGCAGCCAGGCGGTTTCCTCTCTGTTGTTTCTTTCTGTATCAGCTCAACCTACACACATAGGAATATAGGAAAAATGGATCCAAAAAGCCGAATAACAGGTATTTTAAATGAGCTCTGACTGCAAGACAGAAAGCTCCCGGTTCTGGTGGTCCTGTTCCATTCTCCTGTCCCACAGCTCTACTCTTCATTAAAAATAGCTCAGGAGTCAGTTACCTGTCCCCACTGGAAGGCCCTTAGCAAGTCAAAGCAAGAAAAAAAGGAAATGGAAGAGAAGGGGAAAATAAAAGAAAATATATGTATGTGTATATATATTATATATATTTTTTCGAATATATATGTCAAAAGAAGCAGTCTCCCATCCCATCTGGGGGAGATGACTGACTCTTCCGGGCACCCAGCCTTGGAGACCCACAATCCCAGGCCTCTCGCTTTGGCGGCGGAAGGCGCTCGCCACGGGCTGTTGATAACGTAACAGGGGCGGGGGCAGGGAAGGGGCCCGCGCTCACCTTGCCGTCGCCCTTCCTCCGGATCTTCTGGCAGCGACCGTAGGAGCCCGTGCCAATGGTGTGCAGCACTTCGTAGTCCTCCGCCCGGGTCGGCATGGCGGGGCCACCGCAGGACCCCAGCAGATCAGGCCGCAGCCGTGAAGTTACAGCCAGCGAGTCCGAGGTGCAGCCCCGTTTAACCGTCGCGGGCCCTGGCCTCGCAGTCTATTGGCCCACAGTGAAGAGGCTTTGCCTCTCTGATTGGCTAAGAAGAACACAACCCCCTAGGCATCGTGGGAAGGCGTATCCCTAGGCAACCTCCTCGGCGTCGGGATCGGCGTCCTCTTTCTTCCTCTGGGGAGAAAGGGGCGGAGCTAAATGATCAGGTGGGTGGGGGGATAGAAAGCGGCCCCAAGCGGATTTCCGCAACTATGTCCCTCTGGCTTAAGTCGCCAAAGTAACCGAAGTCCAGAGACCTCTCCTCAGACTTCTTTGCACCCTCCCTTAACCAACTGCTTTCTGACCTTTGCACTCTAATCTCTCGGGTTCCTGTACTCTGCAGGTGCCCTCTCCTCTCAGGTTCTGGTACCCTGAGCCTTGGCGGGGTCATGTTGAAGATTTAGGAAGAGCTAAGTACAGAGTTTAAAAGTACGCCCCTCGCTGAAACGCTGACTACAATGCGGGACTGTGCCAAGCAATTTACATTGTCTCACATATTGCTCAACACAATCCTATAAAGCAGAGTTTAGTATAATGAGAAAATGGAAGCACAGAAAGTTTATTTGCTTTAGTTTCAACAGCCAGGAAGAGACGAATCAATACAAAAACCGTGGATACTCATAGTAACGATTTAAAGGTTACACATGATTTTGTGCAGGGTGCAGTCATCATAGACTATATTTTTGAATACCGAATTTAGAGTCTTGTTCAGCATGCAGAGGATGTGTACAAACCCTCAGGGTAGAATATGGAAGTCCTGATGTTTTAGAATACCAGAAGAATATGGTGCTCTAAGGCAGACAGGTTTATCTTTAAGACACCTACGAACAACAACAACAGTCTACCAAATAGGTTATCTGGGGTGCTGAACACATAATTAATTGACAATACTTCGTTGAATGTAGCCTCTTCTGGGCACCCACAGAAACTAACGTTTTCAGCTCACCCAGCCATATGGAACAGTCCAATTTTTACCTGAGAAAGGGGGCCTGGAGACCTCCATCCAAGGATGGGTGCATTACCGGAAGCCTAATCATTTAGGAATGCTCAAATAGGTCAATTTTCTTTAAATATCTGTTCAGAATGGGATTGAAAATAACTTGACTCTCTATTAATAAAAATTACAAACCTCTTTATGTTAAAAATAAATTTATTATATGCAGTGAATATAACATAATTGGAAATGCCAACCAAGAGAATTTTTAAAGTAACATTCAAGGGCACTGTCTTACCTCAAGGGAATGAGACCAATTTAGGTTTCAAAAGTTATGTAAGAAGCTACAAGTGGCTGGTTTAATTGGCACTATATTTTTTATTTTAGTACCTCTTAAAGACTGACATCCGTGGAGCTCTTTAGCTGGCCTGCTCCAAATCCAGTCCCGAACCTTCTCTCTGGCCACTCTTCTGCTCTCACCCTTTGCCCTAATTCCCCAAACCTGGCACACCTTCTCAGCCCTGCCCCCACCACATTTGCACCTGTTATTCCATTTGTTTGGAATACTATCCACCTGACTCCCTTATCCACTGCCCCACTC